TAATGCACTGTACTTCTTTTGAAACTTTGAAAAGGGGTCCATGCTGCAAATTGACCTGTGGCAAATTCAGTCAGTGGCTCCTAGCTTAATTTCAGCAGTGAAATGAAAAGCCCTTTTCCACCCTTCTGAAAATGTTGGTTTCAAACTATCAAATGTCATCTTCATTATAACTAAGAATACAGTATTCTGGTTAGTTCACTTAATATTCTTAATAATCTTAAGGTGAAATCTACTGATTTGGGTAAGTTGAATCTATGTTCAGGATTAATATAAATACTTTGTGGACTAAACTTGCAGGTGGACCTGCTGCTCAGAGCTCTGTTGTCAACATTGTACGGCAGAGTGCTGCTCCACAAAAATAAAGGGGTGTTCATATTCCCCATTAATATATTTATGAGCCACTTTTTAATCTGAATTTCAAATATAATTGAATTTTATTTTCAGAACATGTACCTCATCTCTGAAACCATACGCTACAGTTCTTGAACAATTTACTCCTCAGACTAATAAGGATATGAGTAGAAAACTGGATTCTGGGAATGAACAAAACTATAACAAGGTAATGAAAAATTATTAATTGTGTATGAAATTTGTGTTAATTCTTATTGATGTTGGAATGACCCATGTTTAATACTCCTTGAAATTAATTTGAATTTTATATTTTATAAAATAATTTTACCAATGATCTCTTATTGGTAAATAATAATTGGTTGCAGATTGCTACTGCCGCTGAAGTCCTCAGAGAATCAGCTATTATCTGGTTTTGGTGTTAATTAAATCGTTAGAATATGTCCTGGTGAAAAGAAATGATAAAGCCTTATTAACCTGATTCTTAATTTTACCACTGAGAAGTTAAGTGATTTTTCTGAATTTTTATTGTCCTGATTCTTCATTCATTTGCACATGATGTCCTTTGCACAGTCACAGGTTTAAAAATAGTACAGTGGTACCTCGGGTCACGAACTTAATTCGTTCCGTGACTCTGGTCGTGACCCGAATTGGTCGCAACCCAAATCAAATTTTCCCACAAGGTTCAATGTAAATACGGTTAATCCATTCTGACCCCTACGAAT